AGCTGAATGTACTGTGAAGTTCAGATACATTAGCGTGAAATGAAACGGGCTGCTTTGGTAGTCTTCTTGGTTTGCGGTTCGAGTTCACTCATTTCGTTCATGCGCTTGAACTTCCAACCTCAAGGTGTGTCAGACTGTAAAACAAGCTATGTGATATCGAAAAGTACTTAACATCCTAATGTGAAGCGTGTTCTGCCAAGAAAAGATATTGTGACAGCTCGAATATCGTCCAAACTGAAACATGAGGTTAATGTTATGTCGCACACCCAATTGAAGGATATCAGAAACGAGAGATTCAACTGGGATTTGGCTGAATTTCCCGTCAGTTGCAAGCGCGCTTGCAAATGAACGAAGTTCGGCTACCTCATACATTTGGGTGTTCAGGTAGAACATAAGGTAAGCGAAAGCCCATGAGGTGCGCGTTCCAAAAACAGCAAAATTTGCTGCAAAATGACAAAGATCTTTCAGCAACCTTATGAGTGGTATGATCAGTCAAGCATATTTGCCTTCTGCCTCCTGGCGACTATTTAGGAGTGCAACTGGCTGGTTTGTCTTACAGAGATGTAATATGAAGTTAAGTTCGGTGAGGATTGCATGGCTGCAATAAATCGAATGCGAAATGTCGCGTGGAGTGTATAGAGGAACAGTAGCCACAGCCTAGACGCAGAGGCAAAGTGTGGTAACGTTAAAGAAACACTAACAACGGCTGAAGTGACTCACTGAGCACGTGATCGACTGCTCTGCTGTCATGCTACCACTGATCATGCTAAGATAGGAAGGCAACCACAAGATTCCTTTTGAGAAGAACATCTAGTTAGCGAGCATATTCTGAGTGAAAGAACGATTGTCACCGAAGTGGAAAATATGATGCGTTCAGGTTAGCTCAGTGGGTTTTGTTTGAACATCGTCTTCGATTCAGCAGGCGTTATCGAAAGTTTCATATCAATAGGTGGTTCAGCGCGAAAATTCAAGGCACATCTATTTTAATGCAACATTTCAATGCACCCAAGCCATAGTACCTCTCAGTAGTCGTACTTCTAACGCCCACGCAAGGAAGAGATGCAACACCGAAAATCACTGCGCCCGACAGCACACCGAGTGACGATAGAGTCATTCGGGATCTGGGCTCAGTCTGCGAACACAACCCGACCCCACATATCATGTGATGTGTGGAGCAGTGAGAACGAGCAATAACCATCTGTCAAAAGAGCACACCAACGCTTGGTTTCTCCCACACGGTGTAGGCAGTCCTTCCAACCTGTGAACTCAGACACTGAATATCACTATCGATTGAGAGCATTTCCAAGGAACCTTAGCAGCTAAGTTCCTCTAGGACCACAGTGGACTATATAAGTCATTGGTTATTTTTGTTCAATTGCTTGTTGTCATTCTGATCAGGCAAAGGTGAGCGCGTCAGCACTCCATCGTAATGTATTGACTTGGTGAAACATCTGCTGGGAATGACCGTATTTGGGATGCCATTAAGGAGAGAGTACTAGACCTTGATTGTGTCGTCGTCAGCATAGCAATTGAACAGGTAGACAAACGGAACATGAGATTAATCGCCATGTGAGGAGATTGTGTATTTAACAATTTTGTCTTGTTAATGAGACCGATCTATGATGAAAAGCGATAATTAATGAACAGTTGTTTCATCCTGATTGGGAAACATAGGTAGCGTGATTCTAACAAAACTTTGGTAGAGAGTTCGGAACTCGCGACCTTGCCAGAGCCTAAACATTTAATCTTTCTGCCTTGAGCGGCTGAACAGCACTGCGATTAGTTGCAACTTAGGCAGTATATAGCGCCGCTCGTCATTCAAACAAAGAAGCCATTACTTGGTCACGTACTGGCTGGCTCCTCGGTTGAGAGCTTTTCAGATGAAAGTTGTACTCAACTCGTGAAATCGCTTTTGCTGAGCTATCAAATTGAAAATCGAAGTCTCCTCACATTCCGATCAATAGATAAGTGGCTCAGAGGAGGGACGATTTCACGAGATGAGTGAAACTCCCATCTGACGCGTCGTCACTTGAGGTGCCAGTCAATACGTGATCACGTGAAGTGGTCTCTGTAGTCGAATGAACACAGCTATATCCTGTCTGAGTGCAAGCTAATCAGCAGCGCGAGGTCGAAGGTTTAAATGTTGAACCAGTGGCCGGAAGGCTGTGGGTTAGAAAAACCCCAATGGAGTTTCGTGAGATGGGCGCGGATGACGAATCCCAATAAGAACGGAACAGTCGTACAATGATTCTCAGCTTTTCAGCATAGATTGGCTTCATGAACGGAGCAGAGTTTGAAAAATTTTGTTCCCCGAATGTGAGATGGGTTTTCGCATCTTGTTTCTTTTATGTCGTTGTTAATTTTAAAACCGCGTAAATATTTTCACATCCAGAGTGAGCATAGTTCCACTATTTTGAGCACCGTCAATGAAGCCACACCATAGTAGTGTATAAACCTGAGGTTTGTGGATTCAGCTACGTCAATAACGCCGAGTGTGTTTGTTTTTGTAGGCTTGATACTGTTTTTCATTTAAACCTGTGCGCTCAGAAAACTCATGTAAATAGGGGTTGTAGTCATGCATATCCTTGTTTGACTTTCAGGCTCTTTCGCACTCACCTGCCACCCGAAATCAGACAGAAGTAATGGGAAATGAGCAGCCTTAGTCCCAAAGTACAAAGACATTCCCACATCTAGCGTACTCTGTCACTATGGCATCAAACTGGAATTCACAAGTGCTGTAGCAGAATCTGCCTTTAATAGTGCGAACAGATATGCCCGAAATTCTGTCAAGTAACGCTCTCGGGAAGTCAAAAACCGCTAATGGACTGGACACGAGTAGCAAACCAATGGTGTTTATTTGCAGACCATCGCGAATAGCTCACTGAATTCTGCGCCAGCTCTTAACAATATCAGAAATTTCCACCCGTCGTTTTGAACAAGGCTGTTTGAAGCTCGTCTGGTCACGCAGCCCGATGACTCGGCACATCACTCCAAAGGAGACGACTTTTCTGCTTAAATCCTCCTTGAGGAGACAAATTATACGGATCGGATGAGGACGCGTTTGATTTCCAAAAATGGTTGACTCCATAAAAGGGAATATCACTTCAACGAATGCCGGTCAATCAGTGGACCATCGGCCTGTGGAATCGGTCATTCCGCCACGTCGGTAAACGGTTACTTGACCGGCAATTCACAGAAACGCCGTTCCTTGCATTATCGATCTAAGCCAATAGTCCTGGATCGCATGACAAATAGCTCACTGATTATCGGGTTTCCAGTAGACAGCATGACTTTTGTAATCATATGGATTGGAAAATGGTTCGCAACCATACGAACGACGCAAATGAATTACCAACACAGAGGTTTACCGCAATTCACTTGCATGTGCAAGCACAGGTATCACCATTATCATTGACAACCACACCAGATAAGAATACTGGTGCTTCACTACCGTATAGTAAGGTCAACTTATTTGAATAAAACCTCATAACCAAAAGAAAAGAACGGGGACCTAGGGCCAGCCTACCACAAACATTCGCAGGTTCTACACCTCCAGCACTCAGTCACACAATCTGGGCATAAGCTGACGCCGGTTTACGACCATGTCGTTCAGTCAGGCACCGGAAGAGTCTCGTGGATCCCATCCAGGGGGGCAAACTGCAGCAGTGTAAACGAGATGAGGCAGTCTTTGTGCGATTTCACCTGTCCTTACCCCACCCACCTCTAGAACCATTCGATACTACCATGTTTCTCTACTCTCATAGTCTTGACAAATCAAGAGCAAGTATCTTTTGGCATTACGTAGGAACAATGCCCTGAAGTGATATGCCTATTTAACGGATGGTCAGAGGTCATAATGATAGGAAGACATCGGTCCCCGCGAACAAGAAAACCTGCCGCGAATGGTGTAAATGACCTTCGAAGGTTAAAATCAAGTATAAGAAGAAACTTACAAGAAAAATTTCCACAAGCGTTCATTCCCAACCCGCGAACAAAAAACCTGCCGCGAATGGTGTAAATGACCTTCGAAGGTTAAAATCAAGTATAAGAAGAAACTTACAAGAAAAATTTCCACAAGCGTTCATTCCCAACAGGGAATACGATCTGATATGATCATCAGGCTAATCCACCGACGGAAAATGGTCCGAATTAGTATGACCAACAAGGATGGCCGCGCACTCGTCTTCCGAACACACTGAATGAGGAATCTTCAATTATGTCTGCAACCATACTAGGTCGCCGAACGTAGCAAGATCGTGGCACTCTGTTACCCCACAAAACATCACGGAGGCTGCTACGTGCCAGTGTGTTCAGCCCTAACGCTGCACATACGGATATTCATTTTGTGAGCAAGCATAGATTCAACCAGTCATCGGACCTAGCCGCCTAAGGGCTGGTTTGTGCTTGGCAATGGCACGAAGTAAATTATTCATCCTATCTAAGCCGGTTATACCTCACCAAATTTACTGTCAATCGTAAAGCCGAGATATCTCTCAGCCAAGCGCTTGACTTAAATAGTCAGGTGACAAGAGGAACCTTGACAGCAAAAAGTAAAACTCCGATGACTGAACTTATCGAGAAGTAGTAAGATTCTAGTATGTGTATCTGGAACTCGGATGTTGAGTACTACCCAATGTGGAAGATAGTGAAAATGCACTATCACACCGATGAGCTACACTGACGACAAGGAACAGCAACACATCCAGAAGCCTCGAATTCCAATTACACTGCTCATTCCGCCAGAGTCTGCACAACAGGCCCATCGAATTCCTGAAAACTACTTTATTCGATAAAAGTAGCTCGCGACATCGGAATAGAATCAAACTCACCATAGGAATCTTATGGGATCTGAAGAGTTTTATAGCCGCAGCATAATGGTGTGTATTACACCACTGCTGCATTCTTCATAGAAACGTACGGAAAGTTTACAAGCGACTTCTAAGCTAACTGATGTATGGACTTCACTAAATAAGGCACGAACGCGACTACTGACCTACTAACTATAGAAGGCGCGTCCACACATACCTAGTACTAGAGCAACCCACGAACAAACGTTCAGCAGTAGCATCCTTCAGGTGCCTACACGCCATGACACCCGAAGGTTGCACGAGGGTTGGCATACTGCCAGGTTGTCCAAATCTAGACGGGGGAAGTCCAGAGGCACAGGTCGGGTTCGAACCACGGACCTTCAGGTCAGTAAATTCGCGCTCTAACCACTTGGGCCTTCTTGACCCACCCACGAATGAAAAAGCAAAACAAATCAAGCTGTGACCACAAGAGATGTAATGGGAAACACAAGAAGAAACATCTGGCGCCCAACATATTATTGTTCGTCTTCAGATCAGTGGCATACGATAAACAGAACACCGGTCATGGACATCAACGTGACCATGTGTCATTATGGTTTACACCTAGAGGTGAAACGAGGATAAAGACAGACGTCCCGAATGTGATATTTGCGCATTATCCATGTGCAAAAGCGTTCAAAGCCAAGTCCATAACCTCCGTGGGGACAAGTGCCAAATCGACGCTGTACGATGAGAGAAAAAGAAAGTCACACACACACACACATCGATGGGAAGGGATGTGACTCAAAAGCACTAAAAAATTTGAGAAGAGAGCACGTGTCTAGCCAATCAGTGGAAAACGGGGAGTGAATAATATAATCCGGCCAATGAAGAGCGAACTAAAAGGTGTGGCGTATCCGAAGGTCATTGCTAAGAGATAGATTGTGGACAAAAGTGAGCACCAAAGCGGTAGTTATATTTTAACGTCCCCCTGGGCTTAGGGTAACATGTCAAAGGTGAGCTAGATTGAAGATAGGGTTGCAATATTCCTACCAAAGTAATCTCGAGGGCGATTGAAAAAGGCTTCATTCATCAAGCCTGGAACTCTGGAAAGAAGAACCCATTTTATTGAAGTTCATCCCATTCATTTATCAGCGCTCTATACGTGCCCATCAGGTGGAGATAGGTCAGTGGTTAGATCGCGAATTTCATCGCTCGAACCCGACTTCTGCATCTGGACTGCTGTTGGTGGTATCCCAGTCCTCATGGATTTTCCCGGTAGCTTGGCAGTTGGACACCGGAGGGATATCATAGCTGAACGATTAGTAGTCATCGTAAGAAAACATGCTAACAAAACCTGGCATATTAAGCTACAGACGGATGGTGGGAAGGAAAAAAACGTCAACTTACTTGATCTGTGTACCAGTAGTAGGGGACTGGGTCAATATTTTCGGATAGGTAGCCAAGAAGTAATTCGTCCATATCGGTCATACGCATTGAGCCTCCAACAATCTCTCCAACTCCGGGGGCAAGTAAATCAACCTGTACATGAGAGAGAGGGACAGAGTGTTATCGGTTACTGACACCGAAACTGATAAGCTAGATATACATCATAAAACAGGAGAAAGGAGAGTGGGGAGAATGAACAAACAACATTGGACGTTTGCTTCGAGGCAACGAAGGCTAAACGACAATTAGACAGAGACATACATAATTGAGTAAACGCATGTGAAAATAACCACACACAATGATTGAAGGGAAATGGAATTTCAGCCTCAAGAGTCAGGCAGTAGACAGCTCGCGTGGTCATCCGGCTCAATCTACCATCATCATCATTGTCAACTGTAATAACCGCGTACTTCTCGTACAGTTGTTGTAGCTGCCACAGTTTCGTTCACCGATGATTCGGGAAGATGGGGTAGGTAGCTGCGCACTGGAGGCGAGAGCTTATAAATTAGTGCGTAATACAGTACTGTAGGTGGACTACTAAACGAGGCTCAAAATATACGGGCCTTATAAGGTTCGCCACTCCAAGCCTTTGGAAAATGGGTCCATCTTGTGGTAAAGTGGTTGCCGCAGCACGAAATGCGTTGAAGGACGGGACAACAGAGGAAATAGGCCAAACTTGTCTGGAGTGTATGATCTGATATTTGACCTCATCCTCCGTAAATGCGGAAAAAAAACCGGAAGCCACAAATAGACAATCTCAGTCCAAAATGGATGAATCCGGGCGTGTCAGCAAACGGCTGGCCTAATGCAAACCGAGACACAGAGCAATAAACTAACTAGTCATTCGACCTATTACGATCATCTTAGATGAAGGCAGGAGTGTCCGTTATCCGAGGAGTCTACATAGGGGAAGAAAGCTCCCCACGAATGGAGTTCTCCTTGCGCTTTCAATAGTGAATGTACACAATATGGCACATTACTGTAATCTATCCGGAGAGAATATCACTGTGTTGGGGATGGACATCTTTCAAGGGAGCAATCACCATCAACAGAAAAATCACCGCTAACACTGGTGATTCACTGTCGTAAACCCACTGGATTTGGTTAATTAGCTTTAGATCTTTGAAGTGAAAGAGAAAGGAGGAGGGCGGCCGGATACTAGCCTACTGCAAGCATTCTGAGGTGTATGTATCTGCAAACGAGATAGGTTAGATGGCCCAAGTGGTAAGAACGCGAATTTACTGACCGGAAGGTCCGTAGTTCGAACCCGGCCTCTGCCTCTCGACTTCCCCTGTCTAGGCTTGGGTAACCTGACAATATCTCAGCCCTCGTGCTTCCTTCGGGTTGCATGGCAGCTAGACACCGAAAGGGTGTTACAGCTGAACGATTCTCCCATCTCCAGACGCTCAGCCAGCAAAGCTATATAGAAACTGAGAACAACCACCGCAGCTAGACTCAGGTAAGGACGGTGGAACTCTTTATAGAAAGGTAGACTGCACCAACAACCGTCAAAGTCCTCGTAACATCTTTCACACCCTTCTGACAAGTTACACGATGTACACCCGGCAGTCTGTATTATCTGGAAGGAAGCATGCGGAACAGCACTCCCTCCAATGACAAGGATGCAACACAGAATATGACTAAACCACCACAGTTGACTGTGTTGGGTTTTCTACGCGAAAGGGATTATCTTTTTTCTAACTGCTTCTTTACGAATTCGTCAACGTTATCTAAGGTCAGGGACGCTTTTGAGACATCAGTAATAAAAAACTCAAGACGTCATAGATCGCTTACTCATAAATATGCAACACAGCTCGCGCTGTAGTCTGGTGCACATGTGTTATGAAACCAAGCGATCCATCTTTTTGACGCTACATGCGATACAAATTTGCAAAAGCGATTAAAGTCCTCGAGGTTCACACACTAAATTCCTCAGACAAACTTCCGTTGCACCTGAACGAACTACTGAAATTTGGAGTGCTTCCCCATGGATTGGAGAGCCCCCTCAAACACCGTCACACCAACTCAGCGGCGAAATCGAACGCATCTTTGAAGTCCCTGTGATTACAACCCCCGTTGCGAATGTTGTTTTGATGAGGATGGCGATGAACATGAAGCTCTCTTCATAGACATTTATCCACAGACGCGGCCAAAAGAATCACGCGCAAGCGACTACCAGAGGACCTAGTGAAAGCGCTTTTGCTCCGTGGATCAGCACAGTACCTACACCGGTTGTAGCATGCTCTATGTAAACAGATGTGCGAGGTCGGTATAGTGAAGATAGTCGAGAATTAGTCAGTTTAATCACAGTATTTGCGTCTTAAAGTCTTGTTTCTGACGGACAACATACATCAATACGGCAGTGAAGCATTGGTGTTGAGCACTGATGTCATGCTGTCGTTGATGATGATGATGACTACTGGGTAGACAAAGAAGCGTTCAGCCGTAGCACCCTTCCGGTGCCTAACTGCCATGCCACCCGAAGGTTGCAAGAGGGCTGGGATACTGCCAAGTTGCCCAAGCCTAGACAGGGGAAGTCGAGTGGCGGAGGTCGGATTCGAACCACTTGGGCCATCTCGCAGAGGGAATTGGGAATGCAAAGAAGGGTAGCCTGTTGTGTTGTGCTTCAGAGTGCGAGAACTAAAGACAACTGGGTAGACAACATACATTTGGAAATTGAGGACTGATTTGGAGGTGCGTGAAGTTGCTACTACAAAACCGAAGTCACTGGGTCAAAAGCCTGGATGCAAGGCAACGTATAGATACGAGAATACTGACATATTGGTAGAAACTTTTGCAAAACATATCCTACCTTGCAACCTGAAGGAGCAGGATACTCAGTATATCTCAACAGGTTACAGGGGTACACAAACAGTCACACCAAGATAAGGTTCGACCTCTACAGTAAGAGATGTCTCGCAGCAAAAGTAAAGGTCACTGAAGCATGTCAACTGCTGTCACAAGAGGTTAGTAGAGGCTGGGTAGATATAGCACGATGAATGAACTTCAATTCGCATGGTGATACACAACACACGTACTCTGTACTTCAAAGAACTGGAAGTTCATCACTCTGCATGAACTAGTCATCGCTAGAGCGAAATAAGACTGGTGGTAAGTTCTGGTGGGAATTTATGTGCTCATTTGCTACAGGGTGAACGTTGCAGGGGTAATCGATTTGTCTGGAGGCGGTCTCTTCTCATCTAAAAACGGAGAGACTGAAAAACGGTCCTTTGAGCATGGCGGTTATTACGTAGTAGAATCCCTGAAGTGATGTTACTAAGGGGAATTCCTAACTAACCGTCTTACCGAATCTGTCAGACGGCGATCGCCTTCAGTTCTCTGCATATAGAAGGCCTTCATTCCTGCAGGGAAATGTGTAAGGAACAACATCTCCCCCATGGCATCTACCAGACGACGTTCAGGCGCTTCAGGGATATCGTCACCAAATTCGAATGGAGAGAAGTCCTCTTTGGTGATACCGTTTTTGTTCAACAGTGCAATGGCATCCTCATACTTCAATCGTCTGAAAGGTCCTTTTGGAGCCACAAACTCCTGAAAGGGAAGAGTACAAAAGCGGTGGCTTAAATAGCTGGGGGCATTGTACGTTTGAAGATGATCCATTGCAAAATCACCTAGTACTACGGAAATTGGGAAAACAGGTGAGAACAATTTCCAAATGTGACTTTGCCCTGTCAATCAGGCCAGTCCATGATAAAAAGCCGAGAAGTACAAATATGCATTTCCGTTTTGCCTTAGATTCGAGTACGTTGACCTGTTTTCCCTTAAACAACAGGACCTCCAGGGAGAGCCAGTAGATATCTCCGATTGTCACTCAAATAGGTCTACAAAGTCGAATTCGCTCATAGTGGTTGTGATCGGGACTGAAGTTAGACTAAGACATTCCACAGCAGAGCCGTTTGGTCAAGTGATATTTCCAGTCCCGAGTGCAGAAAGTTTGGTTTCTAGCCCGTTAGGAGGGAGACACTTCCCGGACTTTCTCAATTTCCGATCAGAAGGTATACTAGAAATAAGCACATCCAACCAAGAGCAACTTCGGTGGAAACGAATACTTCATCCCAGTTCTCACGTTGAAATAACTCAGTGAAAACGTACTAGCGGTTTTCCAATTGAGTTTTTGCCGGAAAGCTACGGAGCCAAAGGTGTAAACAAATGCGAACGGTGTATCTGTTGCTGCAAAATTCATAGCTTTCTCAGCCAAGCATGACTGGAATAAGACACACACGGAAGATTTTAATGAATTCTTTGTGAACATACTCTAAAAGCAGTCACATCAGACTGCAAGATACTGAGACTGCCACCGTTATGAAAATCCATCACTGAGCAGAGTCCTCAACTGACACAAAACACTAGTTACTTGAAGATTTGAGACCGAATAAATGATGAGGTGGAATACGCTGACGGAACCGGAGCAGAAAATAAAGACGTGGATAAACTCACCGGATTGATTTCCTTCACAAGGTCACCGGCTTGCTTCATCACTCGGTCTGTTACATCCACAACTAGATCTTCGATTCGTTCCAACAGACCGTCCAGATCGATAAAAGGACATTCGGCTTCCACGTGGTTGTATTCAGATAAGTGTCGACGAGTACGGCTCTTTGTTTGTACAAGAAAGAAAGAAAACCTCGCTAAGCGACCAAAACTGATACAAAGCCTAAAGATTGTGTGGATTTAAAACAAAATGTAAAATGGGTGTCCCGAAGATACCCACGCGAATTTGAAAAAATTCGAGTCATAATTGAAACACGGTCACAACAAACGGCTACTGGATAACCCTTAGCGGGACGAGATGGACCAAGTGGTTAGAGCGCGAATTTACTGACCGGAAGGTCCATGGTTCGAACCCGACCTCTGCCTCTCGACATCCCCTGCCTACCTGGCAGTATCCCAGCCCTCGTGCCTCCTTCGTGTGGGTGGCGGCACCGAAAGAGTGCTACAGCTGGACGATTTTTCTATATCTTAGCGTATCATACACACACCCAGACGACCCTCAGGGTTTCGTACGCCCGAATAAATTGGGCGTTATTTATAAGAAATAGGCCTTCCGGTGTGATCAGCTAGAGCATATGCACCTTCTTTGCAGTAAGAATCTTCCCGAATAACTGAGTCTCGTGGAGCCGTTTTCCCCTATTAGCATTCACCAAGTGGGCGCACAAGGGAGAAAACATGTTCGGTTCTTTTTTCCAAGTATTACCTATAGTGGTTTAACCGACCCAATCCGATCTGCTTCACACTCATCCTCCATATCGAAGAACGAGGCGAAATACTGGTGACTGAGTGAATACGACAGCACCACCAATGTCACATCGTACATACGAATTCACTGTTAGTAGTTTCTGGCTGTTACCGATAGGACCACATGCCCATCAACTAGTTTCCGCAGGCATAGGTGTGAAAATGGATACATTCGGCTCTTGACCTATTCAGAGAATCTGACTCAGTGAATAGCAAGGTGGATAACCAGTGATTCTGGCGAAAGATCTGATAAAAGCCCAGTCATCGGGGTGAATTTTGATCGGACATTGATCACTAATATGTCATCCAGAAAAGCTCAGCCATTGGAAGTCTCAGGGAGTAGACGTTGGGGGTTACCAAAGAGCAGCTTAAGACTATTCCCGATGGGACCAGCGGGTTTGAACATATTTCTTTTCGAACACTCTGAGAGTCGGCTCATCATAAACCCAACGTGGGCAGATCTGAATCTGGAGATGAGAAAACGGGTAGATATTTTCAAATGTAATATCCACCGTCTCCGTTGGTCACATGGCGAGACGTTAAGTAAACTGCTCTTTCTCTCTCTCTCTCTCTCTCTCTCTCTGCGCTAAGAACGCCAGACAGCACGATGGAATTCACCGACATTAAGATAATGAAAGTAGCAAACCGAATGAAACAGGGAGGACGTTTGGAGGGTGTGTAGCAGGGTTATCTCCACGTGGACAAACCACCCCGAAGGACGGGAAAGACGACCGATCTCTTGCGCGAGGCGGTTTTCTCCGTAGGTTCGTAATCAGAATATGCCCCAAAGAACCAATCAAAACCAATCAATTCTGAGGATGGTCTATCTACAGAAAACTGCATTTAGATCAGTGTCATGGCTGGCAACCACCTTGTCCGTCTGCGAGAATGAGCGAACATTTCGAAGAAACATGTATCGTCCATAGGGGCTTCACAAATGTGATCGAAATCAGAACAAACGGTGCAAACACCGACTGAGACCCGTATTCAAGAGAAAGAATGCGACCAGTGTTGGGTGACAGTCAGCTTTTGGGCAGCGGTCAGTTTCCAAGCTAAATATGATCTGTGTTCGACGGTCATCTGGTCCTTGCATTGAAAACGAAGTGGTCAGCCGCAACGCGCGACAAATGCCGTACGACACAAGAATCCAGACCGTATGAAACTGCTCAAAAGTGCTCAACAGATCAAAGTGGTGGTGAAGTGCACAGAAAGAACAAGCATTCAATTTGGAAGACCGGAAAAATGGCCAGAGAAACGTGTTTGAAGCCAGGAAAACGCCCAAAGTTGGACAGAATGACTTACTCGATGGGAGACAACTTTGGAATGGACTGCATGTTCATTTTGATCTATCTAACTCTGTGTATTATGAATAAATTCCCACCCTGATCATGATCAATTCTCTAATGTGAACGAATACAACTATGTCCAAATCGACAAGGTGTACAGTAGTTACGCGGATTCGTCCCAAAAGAATTCCGTAACCCTTGGACCCATGAGTAAGAAATCGATTTAGCTGTGTCCGAATCGTAGATTGAGTGGGTATTTACTATTACTCAAGGGTCCAGTCATCTTGACAGTGTTAGCCTTGAAGTTATGTACAGAGCACTGTAGTACTTCGTGCGTTATACATGCAAGACAAGTGTCTGGGTAAAAAGTCTAGTCTACACTTCGTTTTGCGTGAAGCGAAAAAGGTTTTCTGTCGAGCTGCATTTGCGTACCGCAGTATAAAACGAAATTATGAAACACAAACCAATAAGTCCAGAAGCCATGTAAAGAACGTACCTTCTCTGCGCGGTAGCTTCGAGTGATGCAGTACACATCACCCAGAGCTGGGATGCACGTCTCCAGATAAAGCTGAGAGGACTGAGAGAGAAAGGCTGGTTCCCCGAAATAGTTCATGGAGAATAATGTTGAACCACCTTCCACCTGCGTCTGGACAAGCGTGGGTGGTAAGACCTGAAACAGAGCAGGGGAATCAGTATGTCAATTGAAGTAAGCGAAAACTGAACATAACTCACAGCCCGGCAAATGTTGTGCCCTGATTTCGAACCATCGGAAGATGTAAGCCTCGAAGAGATGAGTAGATGAATCGCAGCGAAGCCGACGATCACTAAGACTACAGTTGGACGAAACACAATCACCGAATAGTAAGGCTATGATGTGACCTTCCTGTTCTGGAAACACTATGTCTATTCGGTCCTTCAGGTGGTCTTCGCGGACGGGAGTAACCATATCAGAGGAAACATGTTGAAACGTAGAGTTTAGGCAATCTACTCAACTTTAACAACAGTCACCGAGTAGGTGAACAGCCGAAGGCAAATACTGAAAGATTAGAATACGAAATGTTGGTAGCCCACAACAGGCAACCACGACAACAAGGGCTACAGTAGGCGCAAAACTGCACTTCAGTCATTTGTTGTTTGTAAACGATAATCAGAGCGACGATGATGTCATAAGGAGAATGACTATAGCGAGACCTAGCGAAATGTCTGTCATGGCGTATCAAAACGGGCCCGGTTCATTGAGCGTGCTCTATTTTGATGCCGCCTTGGGATCCCGTACGTGGCACGAGCTATGGCGTGGACAGACTTAAAAAAATCACGTACCTCACAATAACCCCGATCACGATAGTGACTACGAAATGCATCCGAGATTACATGAACCAGGCGAAGAACCTTGGAAGTCTGTGGAGATGGGAGACGTGGAAGAAGGCGATAAGCATCCAAAATAGACTGGTAGTTTTATTGTAAGTGGAAAACGTTGATACCTAAAATCACAAAATGTTCAGTTTACCAACCGACGAACAGTGCGAGAGAAAGGTTAGCAATGATGATAGGGTTACGAGAAATTTGTACAGTTCAAACCGGCAGTAATCACAAGTAGTCCTTATGTGACAATGTAAAATACGTGAGCTTGCCCGATTCAACGAATCGGTTGTATCAGTTGGATTTAAATTTAGTACCTGTGTGTGCATAAAAGTAATCGTAAAAATACGATTGCTGACATCGTGTACTGAGGACGATGGAAATGTGCCTAGCTGCCATGCCACCCGAAGAAAGCACGAGGGCTGGGATACTGTCAGGTTGCCAAAGCCTAGATTGGAGAAGTCGAGAGACAGAGGTCGGTAAATTTGCGCTCCAACCAATTGAGCCATCTCGCCCCAACTGGCTAGTGGTCACTGATCAACCATCAACACCGTACATAGTATCTACTGAGAGTGAAACACTCGGCAAACACGTAGTAATTAAAGGCATGTATCAGTATAGACAGGGATAAATTGGGTTACGTAGTTACGCAATAAAAACAATAGCTTAGATTGGGGCTCCTCGACTTTTCATCAACCTTAGGTTTTACTTGAACCCAAATCGGACAGAACTCGACAAATACACTCATTCGCATACCCACTGGGTTTTCACGGTAGACTCAAATGGATCTCCCCTTTATGGTATTCATTAATAGAATGTGCTGCACACCGGCCGCCTCATGTTTTGAATATCGTACCAACTGAGATGGCATGTCACGTATGGTGTAATAAAATAATAGGTCCGTTAAGGGTGCAAGTCCTATTCATAAAAAATACCGAGAGAACTGTTACCCAAATGGGGTGAAGGCCAAACAGCTTCATGGAGGTCCTACGTTTCCATTTATTTAGGTAATTGCAAACGATAGATGCGATATGGGCTGTGGGAACCAACTATGTTGGCCTGTGTCATCTCGGGACCTGCCCGTGGACGTGAAAGTTGATAACGCAACTGGAATTTCCGGTTAGGGCTCTAATACTGATCTAGATTTGGATCCGGGGTAATGAAATTAGTGGTGTCGGTGTTTCGATTGTTTTGACTGATTAGTAGGCAAGGAGAAGCAGCATAAACGCACTCTCACTGAAAATATACAAGCAACTTACGTTCTCACCACGAATAACTAAGTGTCTGTTGTCCAACAGAACATCCACTTCACTTTCCACTGAATATCGTACCAACTGAGATGGCATGTCACGTATGGTGTAATAAAATAATAGGTCCGTTAAGGGTGCAAGTCCTATTCATAAAAAATACCGAGAGAACTGTTACCCAAATGGGGTGAAGGCCAAACAGCTTCATGGAGGTCCTACGTTTCCATTTATTTAGGTAATTGCAAACGATAGATGCGATATGGGCTGTGGGAACCAACTATGTTGGCCTGTGTCATCTCGGGACCTGCCCGTGGACGTGAAAGTTGATAACGCAACTGGAATTTCCGGTTAGGGCTCTAATACTGATCTAGATTTGGATCCGGGGTAATGAAATTAGTGGTGTCGGTGTTTCGATTGTTTTGACTGATTAGTAGGCAAGGAGAAGCAGCATAAACGCACTCTCACTGAAAATATACAAGCAACTTACGTTCTCACCACGAATAACTAAGTGTCTGTTGTCCAACAGAACATCCACTTCACTTTCCACATTGAGCACATGATCGATTCCTCCCGCTGGCGCTCGTCCAATTAACTCCCAGTAGTCAGCTTGTAGTTCGAATCCCCCTGGGGCTGCTTTCCCAGCGGGAACCGCATTGATAGTGCCGTAAACGACCACAGTGGATTCGGGGCTGAGAGTAACCGCATCTACGGTCTGACACTGTGGACGAAGATGAATGCAGTGATCAGAAAAACGTTCAGCGATCAGTTGTGGACAGGAAACCAAGAGAAAATTGTCGGTATTGTTCATAAAAATACGTCGTAGTACTTCCGAAGTGGCAGAACGCCATTCCCAACGTGCGAGCTACTTCCCAAATGTCAAGAATCCAAGAATATCTTCAGTCGGTAAAGCTCAAACTTTATAACGTATCACCAGGAGTACGAGGGCTACAAACATGAAGCTGAACCCTTAGCAACTTCAACAATCCGCCCTACACACTTTAGCATATCAGCTCACTGAGACTGAAACCAACTGGCCGGTTAGATTTCAACGAAGGGATTACTGAGTTGGTGAGACAGGTAGTTTCCGTCAGCTCTGAAAAGTTCGGCGACGAGCTAATTTTCGCCCGCTACCTTGCTATTTATTCAAAAATACAAACGCTTAGTGTGCTTTAGGAATGCTTGGTGAATTTGAGCGTGCTACCCACTGAGGTGCTTGGATGGTATACACAACATTGTTGAGTCGCGGGCGTAGCCAGACCGAGACCTGAAGTGTTCCACTCAGCGATCAACACTTCTCGTAATTGTCGTCTCATCAACAGAACTGGTATAGGGACACTTGAATTCGACCACCCTAGTCAGACGAACTAGACAACAAGCTGTTATTCCAGCGTTTGTAATATCTAGCATTCTTCAAAGTCATTCGTCAAACTTCTCGAGAGCTGGAGTTTGCAATCCGGACGACCACGACTATGAACATGGTCAGCCGGTATCCTTTGCGGATATGGTATAATTTAGCTTCCAGGTGGATCACGGATGGTGAAGTAAACGAACATACAGATCAAATGAAAAACACAAGAAGAAGGGGTGAAATGCAAACAGCAACAAATACCACTTACATATTGTCATTTACACTAACAGTATGTGACAGATTCAGTCTCAACTTGGTTCTTAAACAATGACCCCTTATTCTCCTGAGCTAGGGATAAATACGCACATGACCACCGTCAACAGAGAACCTCATGCCCTAACTTGCATGTGTTCGGCGCCAAGCCAGAAACCCCAGTATTATGCCTTATCAACATTATCGACATCTTGCAAATGCAACTTACCAACTTATCTGTTAATACACACTGCAGAAACCCGGAGCCATCACGCAGGACGATAAACACCAAAGTGCGTCCTAGACGTCGAATACGATGGACCCATCCGTAAACTTTAGCGCGCTGTCCGACCAGTTTGGACAAGTCACGAATTTTGCACTGAGTTGGTTTGGGCAACGAAGGGTCCAAGACGAGCTGGATTCCAGCAGCCTCGGCCTGAGAAACTTCTGCAGCCTAAAGTGATGAGTGAGAACCATGGTCAGATAGCAGATAGAGGGGTGAAGAGTTACCAGGGTTAGGAAGATGGCAAGTGGAAATCTGAGAAACGTTGGTGAATGACCGAACCACTCACAACCAGCGACAATCTGTGGATGTTCCAAGTGAGGCACCGAATAGAAACAGGTACTTGAAACCGTGATTTAAATGCATACCAGCACATGTACATTAGTGAACGCCTTATTAGTAATATTAGACTGTTGCTGATGGTGAACTTTCGCAGCCAGTTGAGTTTCTTGACGCAAACTGCGCTAAAAGATATGCCAGTTAGAACCCAGAGGTATAACTAGTGAGTAGGACAGAAAACTTAGAACTGGTGAGCGTGAAGAGAGTGGCTTCAGATGAGCAAAGTTGACACACGGAAGGGTATAGTTATTAGTGAAGAGGAATCAACGGGGATGAAGCGCGTGGTAAAGCTTGCCGAAATACAATATCCCCATACCTAATCAACTAATGCATCTAGAAGACACCAAAGGAGGACGACCATCAACAGAAATGGCCAAAACCGATCCATACCTGATAAGAAATCCCCCAAAAGCTATGAGTTTTGGCCCTAATTAATCACAGATTTGGTGCGCCAGTCGAAAGAAATCTTGCTGACTAGTTAATTTTATGCCCGAAGACTTAGATAATCTGGTATTAACCCGACAACTTTGTGCCAAAATCTACCGATACTTTCACAGATGCTTATAAAGGACAACCTTCCGACCAGCTCCACGCATTTTTGGTCGACTTAAATCTCGGCGTATTTCACTGAACAGGTTCAGCTCCGGTCATAAGAGTGACATCATGGGGGTAATATGGCGTAGTTTAGTCCAAATCACTTTTACCAGGAAGGTGCGAGCTCACTCTCCGGAAACCCCAAAAAGAAATCGACATGATGAACCAAGGTATTCACCGTAGCGGTCATAGTAGACAGGCGTCCTGCATACCGGTTAAAGTAGATCACACTGGATTCGGACAGATGATATTCCGCTATTATTTTTTACCGGTACGAGTTCAGTTACCAGCTAGACCTCATCACGACTAGTATCAAATACATTATCTCTATATGGACTGAGTCGTGGAATATGATGACGAGTACGGCAGACTGGTTGATGTATTTTAAATGACTGTGCATTGCGCAGACATAACACTTGGACAGCGGTATTTGCTTCAATAAGATGACTTAGAGCATGGTAAAATCCCAATTCGAATACGAAGTAGCATGGACGAAGGAAACGTAGTATTGCTATTCTTCGCATTTTCCTGGCGGTTTAAAATTCTCCAAAACTGAATTGATCGGCCGACAACGCTTGTAACAATACTGGAAGCACCGAAATCATTTAATCATCGACAGCATGACATTAGTGTTTAACACCGATGTTTCACTGACGTACAAATCATGTGTTTGAAAGGAATGTTTGTGCACGCTGCGTTTGATGCAACTGCTGGTTAAAAGATGAGGGAAGTTACAAAAGTATTGTTGCCTCGAAATGAAATCATGATCTGCGCTCATTATTTCGCTAATTTGCTTTTGTTTAGATACTAATTTTGGCAAGCATGTGAGCATAAGTTGGGCTACAAAGAGACTCACAAACTTGGCAGCTTCTTCCTTCTCAGCCTTCTTCTTCTCATTGAAGTACTGCTTTATGGTTTTCTTCAGTTTGGTTTTCGAGACAACATCCCATCTCTCGTCTCCGGTACCGTCGACCCATATGCGCGTAGTGGCTTCGACCACACCTTTTAAATGGACAAGGGCTTGCATTACGGTCTTCAGCGGTGACTCCTCCGACCCATCACCGGTCTTGTCACACCCGTGTTTCTCGGACGTGTATACGTCTGCGTGGGGAAAAAAGCAATAAAGGCGTGGTTACTGCCCAAAAAACTGATAACTGTTCGGTTTGGTAATTCACTTGCTACCATACTGCCAGAGTGCACCTTACAAGTTCACAATGAAAATGCCTGATTCAACGCTTTGGTGCTGTGCGATGGGTAATGTATGGGCGAGAACAACCCCTTGTCGGTTGGAAATGAACTGGCCCAAGTGGACAAGCTAGTCCGATGGCCTGGTAGGCGCGTGGTAGATCTGAAATCTAGGCCTTACCTGCTGCTCAACCTAAGTTCAAAAATATGTTCAACATAGTTCAAATACGAACGGAAAGAGTGTCTACTACCCAACAAATGAATGCGACTGTCTTGTGGATGAACCTAACGGTTGTTCTATGCAGCACGATATCCACTTGCGACGAAACTGTGAGGACACCGGGACAGAGCCGATAAACCATACAAAGAATGCATGACCGTGAGAACACAACTGTTACATATTGGGTGTGGTTGGTTTAATTGCTAATATTTGCTTTGCAACGCCCAGATATGATCAGGGGTAGCAAAGTCAATGTCAGCAACATGTAAAAACGTGGAGAACAGTGGATCCTTAAAGCCCTCAATGTCTTTTTAATGCACTATGTGGGTCGTAGAGAGAAAACCGTTCACACAAAAAGCTCTTCTGGCGCCCAGCTGTCACACCCAAATGTAGCACGATGGCTGATACTGCCAGGTTGCCAAGACCTAGATGGAAACGTTGGAGATGCAAGGATTGAGGTCGAAACATGGACCTAACGGTCGATAAATTCGCGCTCTAACCACTGAACTATCTCAAATGAAATGGAATCGTTGTGTTCGTAACTCGATGAGATGCTTTCAGTGGAAGATGGACGACTCACAAAATGAAAAAAACTCCCGTCCGAAAGCATGAAGATGACTCAGCTAAGCTTGAGTCCATGGATGGTGGCGCTGTTCTCTGAACCACCATTACCTCGTTTTATTCTGCTGTTCTCAGAAAACACTTTGGGTAATCTCAGTGCTCGGAAAAAGTACTTATTCTCGACTTTCTGGTTTTCGGAGCACTGTGCACAGTAGCACCGGTTGTGAGATACCTAACTTACTCCGGACCCAGCTACCATGCAGGCCAGATTATTGAGTCAGTCTCTGGACCGAGTAGTCCAGGAAAACCTCACTGCGTACTATATCATGGGGTACATTTTGACTAAAAGGCTACGGTTGCGGTCCCGGAAAAAAACCCTACCTGCTTCCATTGCATTATGGGTCAGAATTTAGAATCAAAGGCTCAAGGTGGGGTACATCAAACAAACCCGTTCCTCAGCATGGGCAACCGGGAGTTATTATTCGCCATTCTTTGTTCACCGTCCCCAACAGGCAATCTGTCCTTACCCATTCAATGATGCACTGCGTCAACTTGACATTACCTTAAGACATCACCATCAATTCGGGTGCAGCATACTTTCGGTGCCTAGTTTCCACGCCACCAGAAGGAAGCACGAGGGGTGGGATACTGCAAGGATGTCAAGGCCTAGACCGGAGAAGTCAACAGGCGGAGGTCGGATTCGAACAACGGACCCCCCGGTCAGTTAAGTTGCGTTGTAACCACTGAGCCATATCTGGCACTCAGCGGAGGAAAGGTAACATTTACATCGGGAGAAACGAGATATTAGTCCTCCACAACGGTGGCGCAGATTCTGCGCATGCCGGTGTAAGGATGTGCTAAATTAAACCTCAGCTAGGGTAATACCACGCTTGAATACCGCAAACCTGGCTCTCCTGTCGATGCATCGGACCGCATACTTTCCGAATAACAGAATCACCGTTGAAGCGCTTCATTGTAATGGCAATGTGTCACTATCCCACCTGTTTCGGAGTCAGTGGTCAGGCAATCCACAAAGGGTGGATCAAATTCTTTGAAGGATGCAGGACGCGAACCGTGCGAACCAGGTGGCCTGCTGCGCCACAGCGGTGAAATTTCACGTTGGACTTCCGTGGTAGAAAGAGGACTAGTGAAGGTGCTCCATAATGTCTCATATGATTCTTTCAAAGATTGAGTTAGTGGAGCGAACGGAACCATTATTTAGTGTTCAGCCAATCAATGGATGATCTGTGAAGAAACTGGCGTCTCATTTTCGGAGTCCACTTCACGTCGGAGCATCTGAGATATGAGTGCGACTGCTTCCCATTTCAAAAGCGTTTTCCATCTCCTATGTTTTCTCCACTCAGTCGACTCTCAGACCATTCACCATTCAGGATTTGAAATGGCCATCGTAACCGCTTCCTGTTGGTACAGTTTTAATTGCATCAATCATGGCTGCCAATCGTGACAATGTTCACGGGTCTGCAAACGAGCTCGGGCACAGGGTTTGAGGTGATTTGAAGACGGTTTTTTTCACCGCTTTCACGTCATTATCCATCATCACCAGTACAACTGTTTAGTTCTGGATGAGGTTCAGTCGACTCAACCTGATATTACTGTGACACATAGGCATTTTCAAAGTAACGAAGTGAGTAACTTCACGTGAGCTGGCGCGCTCCAGAGGAAAAACGAACATCACTTGTGACGTCCCATCGGTCGCACGTATCAGGCTGTAGCAGAGGTTGTTGTTGTAAGGCTGTGAGCCGTGGACAAATGATGCGGAGAGATTTTGCTTATGACCACCGATTTCCGAGAAGCGCTGCTGGTTTCGGATAGCGCCAGAGGATAAGTAACTAGGTGACTAGAAAACGGACACTTGGTCATGCAGGAGGTACTTCGCGGGAAGGCTGAGGCTATTACCACAACCTCGTAGACAATCCCTCGTTTCTTCGTCTCACACAAATCGGAGCTGCACGATAAACAACTCATTTGCAACTGTATAGGTATGCATCGTCGCCGTGTAGTGCTTTAGGTATCACTGATTTGTGTTAATAACATTCACATAACATGCACGAAGAAACCGTGTTATTCGCTGCAAGTTACATTTAAAAAACGTTACACCTTGGGCAAAGACGGAGTGCAACTGTAACAAACGCTGTTGCAGTTCACATAAACCAAAGTGAGGCTATATTTGTTATTAAAATTCTACGGAGCCTTTCATGAACTCTCCATACGTAACGAAAATTAAAAATCGAAAAGTTGTGGTAATAGTAACATTCGGGCGGAAAACTTCCAGCATAACTGACTACGACGGCTCAGTCATGTTATACGCATGTCGCAATACCGTATACCGATATGAGTGTTGTTTTCTATATCTCCTTCATAGTTGTGCAAACCGCGTGATAGAATTGTCAGAAGGGTGTGAAAAAAATTTAAAAAATGTTTGGGTGTTGTTGGTGTTGTATGCCTTCTATCCTCCACTAAGTTGGAGACGTAGCGAGAAATGGTGGCTAGCCAAAGTTAGTTATGTTCGTGCTGTCAGTTTCCTTCCAGATTTTCGGACTTCAGGATGCCTGACGTAAGGCAGCACCAGGTCTCCTCCATCATCCACTCCTCACCCCTTCTTTTCACTCCTAGACCTTAAATACAGTTCGATAAACTTTACGGTTGTATGGCAGTGGATCATCAGTATGGACGCTAGTGCTGCTGTCTCATGTTAACGATGAGCAGAAACTTTTGATGCAGCGTTACTGTGACTTATACTTCGCAGGATGGCGTAAACTCTACACTCATTCACCTTTAGCTTGATTTCCAGAAAATAAATGTATACATCACTAAAAGTGACCAGATGACTCACGGATGCACATCGCATGCGCGAACCGGGCGACAAACAAATGACCTAGTGCCGCCGGCAATACTGTCGAACTTCAAGGTCAGATCGGCCTGATTCACGGATTCACGGGTTGATGCGCAGGATCGAGGCTTTTGCCCAAGTTTCTGTGATCAGTTTTGTTCTTGTAGTTCAGTGGTTGTCGTTCACCTAGAAGGCCCAAGTGAAAAAAGGGTGTAGTACTGCCCTTTATGTCCCCATCGAGGGGCAGAATGTTTACAAGCGCGAGAATTCGCAAAATGTTTAATAGTGCTTTGAACTTGGTTCCAGGAAGAGCGTAAAGAAGCGTCGGAGGAAGGTCATTCCACGCAGCCACTACCCAGACGGAATAGCGCGTTCTGGCATTGATACACGGAATCGGAGTCTCCGCCCAAAATTTACGGATTGGTTCCGTTTTCGTTGTTTGTGGTGTTTTGCACCTTTAGGACAGGAATTCCGAAAACAAGGCGCTACGGGACTCATTCACCACAGTCTAGCTTGGTGACCGATCGCCATTACAACTGCTTCGCATATGCGCATTCTTCTCTGCCGCCGTAAGCTCACGGTGGAAATCACGGCCCAACTACCACCGGATAAACTTCCACCCTCTATGTCCCACGTCATCAGTGCTTTAACCAATGAACAAAGCTTGGAGCAGCTGGCCCGAATGGCGGATACAATCCACGAAGCATACCCCAGTAATCTAGTTTACTCCGTCTCCCACCCTACACCCTGGACCATCCCTGGACCCCGATCCAATTCATGCGTCCATTTCACACCTACAAGATATTTGAGACCTCTTTCCAAGAGGACGTCAAATCCTTTTAGGTGGCACCACACGTCCTGCTGCTCCACATTCTCGAGTGTCACGGGATTCAAGGATAAATTCTACTCTGGGTTGAGGTGCCAGTATCAGATAGATTATTCCGCGTAAAGGTGCACTCGATCTAGTTCTCTGCAGAAGCGTTTTACAGTGGTGTTTCTCAAGGCTCCGTCTTGGGGTGACTGCAGTTTCTAATATAGGTCAATGACCTTCCAGATATCCTAGGTACTGCTTCTCTTCGTTTTGCGGATGACTTGAAATTCGTGAGTTGCAACGCCAGTGCCCTCCAAATATATATACGTGCAGTGTTCGCTAGGCCAGCACATTCCTCGTGATGACGAAAATGTTGCCAGTATGCTATTTAGAGGAGACTCAGTGAATGTCTCTGTCATGGACTGTGTGACCGGCCCATAAGAAATTACGAAGATAGTTGCCAAAAAGATTTGGATATTTGGCTGTCGTCAAGCCTATCCTTCTCAGCGCAAAATTAGAAATGAGCCCAAGAGCATTCACCATTCCACGGATGATTCGACGCACCTTCTTCCGTTTTGCATGCACGGACTTCCGAACACTACGTCGAAGCTCTCCTAGGATATGCGGACCAAGAAGACTACTCAGGACGCAGGAAAGGCGTAACCACCATTTAGCGTCCAGCGAGCTGCTACGAAAATGGTTGCTGGCCTTAAATCCGTGGACGTTAAAACGCACCTTGTAGTGCTTGACCTACTTTCCAAAGAAAGTCATCTTTTCCTGGGGGGCTTAATTCTTTCTTATGTCCTGTTTGAACAAGGCTTGACCAACTGCATTTCACCGCTGATCCAGCAAGCACACGGCGAGGACGTGGTAGTAAGATTTCCTAGCTCAATGCCCATACTTTCATTGGGCAACCTTTCTTCTCATTTCGGGCAGTAGCTGCTTGGAATAATCTTCCTGGGACATTTGTTTACGCCCCATCTTGAACACGGCTCAAAGCACTACCAGACACTATCCTATGACTTCCCGCGCTCGCAGGTTTGCTGCCCCACGTCGATAACTTTCAGAGCAGTAATGCACCGTTTATTCGCTTGTGCCTTTCAGGTGAACGGGAGGCGCTGAATAAATAAAAAGGAAACAATATCGAGAAACTTGGACGAAAGCCTTGATCCTGTGTAACAATTCGTGAATCCGTAAATCCGTGAACCACCTGAGCAACGAAGTGACAAAATCCAGGAGTGATGATAGTTGTCCCGCGATATCTGGTCAATGCGACCACTTATTGAGTCCAGGTGCTTTTTTGAAAGACTTCAGTCAGCTCCGCTGCACAAAGTTCACGTAATCTGAGGTGGTGGAGCTCCATTCGTGATTCCCTGGTAGCGTTGAAATCACCCACCGACAGGAGATGAACAGACTGGCTCCCCCAGCGTCGGTAGTAGACTACGCCACCAAGGAACGAATCGGACCCGCGCAGCGGGATGCGTATCCACATTGCATCTAAAGAAGGTACATGAGTGATGCCGAAGAGGTCAATCGAGACGAACAGGGCCACACGCAATTATGATGCAACCCAACAAGGAATCCCTCGTTTTGAGTCTGCCCAAAAGTCGGAGTAGCCGCTTGTCCAGATCTTCGCGCCAGAAACACTTAGTTAAGGTAATGCCTGTGCGAGTGCAATAATGGACGACTGTTCAAAGTGAACTGACCGTCAAATATTGGGAGGTTTGTTAAAACGACTGTGAACACGCGTTTCAACACTATTTCTACAGTCCCTGAAGGCAAGGGGCCGAGAGATATGCAACCAAAGAGGTTGACGGTTTTACTGGATGTACGCCGAATTTGAGTCAGAGGCTCTAAATGGACTTCTGCGGCATATTGTTCCTAATTCCTGGATTGTTTCTCGTGAGAGCTGTTTCTTAACTGCGGGTTTGTTCGCCCCATGGACCCCGGTTTGCGTTCTACCTTTGTGAGACAGATATTCTTCCACCATGGGCGAAAATTTCGCACGCTGTTACTTGTAGCTCATTCAGTATATCATCTTGGACAATGGGATTTACTATTCTTCAGGGGTTCGGGGCAGACACGCAGCTGCTTGGTTGATTGGCTATTCTGAGGTGATTTGATCATGAGGTGTTCCTGTGAGGCCCAGATTATTGGTGATGCTCTAATCAGGCTCTAGCCAAGCTCGGAATTTGTGACTTGTATGTGGAGTTATCTGCTGAGTCTCTACCGTCTTTTACGAAAATGAGGGGTGCTAGCTGTAGCCACGCGAGTCTGGTCTCCACTCGAGTTCGCAGGCTTTGGTAATCGAGGAGCCCGCGGTGGTTGAGTAGGAACTGCCACCCGGATTGGGGGCCAGTTGCGTCTTCGTGCAATCAGGAGCACAACAGGCCAGAACTATCGTTGTTTACATTATGTGTGAGAGTTTGTTAACCTGTAAAGACACCCAAACAGCATTGGCAGTGCTTATGCATTTATACACGTATCTTTCGCAGCACGGTTTTTTCACCCGTCAACGTAGATTCGGGCATCACACCAATCTGTGTTCAGAATTTACTGATGACGGTTGGCGCCTACAAGGCTTCAATTCGCTTCCAATTATGTAAACAACATGCCTCGCTTAAAGACCAAGAAGCCACGTAATGTGTGCACTCTGAAAAACGGATGGAAAAGCGATAAAAATAAGGTATTGTCGGAGTAGACCATAGAAAGAAAACGGAAGGCAGACAAAGCAGTAAAAACTAGATTATCAGTTTAGAATGACCATTCAGATTTGGCACACTGTGCACTAAAAATTTGTTACCCTGAATGAAAACAGGTGGTTCGTCTCTCGAATGATGCCTGAAACAGTCAAGACGCAATACTGTATACAGGTGGGATGTTGGTGGTGAAAGCAGACAGATTTTCCATACCGGGCTGCTGGGAGAAAACCTGTATTTTATAAGTGCGCAGTGCACAAGCATAAGAGTCTTTTCATGGTGCGCGTGCACAAGCAACTAAGTGTGAATATCTGGACGTCACACATCTTACTACAGCCTTCCGCATGGGAGATAATCTTGTTGTCATTTTGAAACTTGTATAGTTGCACGGTTCCCTACTTATCACCATAAGAGCGGTAGGACGGAAAAAGAATGGCCTGTAACAGCAGTGGCACAATTTCTTGTTGCGAGTAGCACATGAAACAACTGTCCGCAAGGTGCTTCCACTACTGGTGAAGGAGCGGAGGCCTTTGTTGCGGAGGTTTTTATCAGAAAACGCCAACTAAACAGTTACGAAAAATTGGACAGGGAAGCAAAGCTCTCATATGCATCTTGGTTCAAGGACACTAAATATCCATATTCTGTTTGAACGCGTCTTCCTGAACTTTCTTGGAAATTCGTTGACTGTTGCTTAAATCCAAGCAAGTGCCACAAAGCAACCACACAAATTCCCTAAAAGATCTCACTTTTCAAGAGGCGCAATGCGAATTTACAAGAAGAAAACATACTTCTCGCATGCCCGCCTATCAGTAGTATCACCGCTACACAGCTTCCCCCTTGAAGGGCCTTTCGCATGCCAACAATTTTGATTTGAATCCGTCAGGTCGGCTAGGGCAGTGGGTCTACTCGGCCACTCTTCGGGTGTATCTTGCCACTTGCGTCCTTTTTACCCTTTTCGATCTCCGGACATCTTGAATTGTATACACGTTCCCCGGCGGGTCAAAATTCAATTTACTGGCCAAACAGAAGGTGCGGATGTCGACCGTACATAAGCATAAACAGGGACTTGCCTGAGGTTGGCTGAATGGAAACACGATGACCCAGCAACACCATTGGTAAGTACACTTGCCAGTATCCCCCGTTGGCCGCCAACCACTCCTTGATCGCTCGGTTGTTACGTTCGGTTTGGCCATATGTTTGCGGGTGGTACGGCATCGTTCTTAGCCGTCTGGTACCCAGCTTCTGCAAGCAGTTGCTAAACTCTTCGCTCTCGAGGTAAGGCTCCTGACCGGTTAGGATCATTCTTGGCACCCCATGCTTGACCACGATGTGATGCATTACCACCTTGATGATCGTCGTCGCCCGTTGATTAAAGATGGCTGCCGCCTCCATCCACCCTGACAGATGTTCTGTCATTATCACGGTGTATATATCCCCACTTTTTGTCATTGGAAAGAGGCCCATGACGTCAACGCACCACAACGTGCCGATTTCTGAGGCTGGAATTGGTTCTCGGGATGGGTTGCCCCTGTCGTATCCCTTTCGTTAGTTGGCAACGCTTACAGGACACCACATAATCCACCACCCCACTTCTCATCCGGAGCAAATAGGCCCTCTTCCGAATTAAGTCGTACGTCTTGGTGCACTCTGTTTGTGCCATCTCATGGCATTTGACAGTGAGCTTCCATCGCAGGACGCCAAGTATCACGGGAACACAACGTCGGAATTGGTGGCGTTCCAGGAAATTATGCTAGGTTCATTCAGCCTCAGCCGATCAAAGTGACCATGGAACGTCTTCGACTCTATATCTTCCTCTCCGTTCTCAATATTCCTTCCATCCAACAAGACGGCTGCAACCTTCCGTAACACATGATCCTACCGTTAAAGTTGCATCAGCTTTCCTGGATCCAGTTCGACGACGAGGTCATTGACCACAATCATGATTTTGGGGACCTCATCTTCAGCCTCTGGTCTGAACAGCCAATCAGCCCAGTGATTCTCCATCCCTGACATCGTTGAACCATCCTTATTCTACTGAGACTGGAGCGTGGCCAGTGGTGCCCCGTCCGAATCCTATGCCAGATGTAGCAGCTGGTTCACATGCAACCGGCGTGCCGTCCTCGCCAACCGCAACTGGACGCTAAGTGCGAGCTGCACTGCCCCGATGAACTGGTCGGACAGTAACTGGTGGCGTCCGAAGAACTGGTCGGACAGTAACTGGTGGCGCAACACTCGGCCCAGTCTCGGCAAAGTGCGATCTAACGACTGCTTGGGGTCGGTGAAGAACACGTTCGGGTCAGATCCAGGTGCCATCCTAGCCGTCTTGAACAGCCTCATGGGCTCTTGGCGCTCGGCCATGGTGTCGACCTTCGCTGCAAGTACTTCCTTCGCGACGGTCCAGTCCATCTTCCGGGCCAAATCCAGGGCCGCCTTCGCCCGGCCCCTGAGGAGGGTCTTCAGCGTCGCCAAATTACCCCGGTCGGTATCCAGTTCAGTAACCTCCAAAAACTACTCGAAACCCTCCAGGAAGCTCCAAACGTCCCCGTCTTTAAGGGGTTGTGGCCACGGGTCTTCAGCCCTATCCTGGTCACGACATCATATGAAAGGAGGAAGGCCCCTTCCGCGGAGTTATTGATTAGAAAATGCCAACTGAACAGATACAGACTGTTGGAGGGGAAGCAAAATTCTCATATGTATCTTGCATATAAAAAACTGAACATCCATCTTCTCTTGAGCGCGTCTTCTTGAGTTTTCCTGGATATTCGTTGACTGTCGCTCAAATCGAAACAAATGCTACAAAGCAACTCCAATAACTCCGTAATAGATCTTACTTTTCAAGGGACGCGATGCGAATTTACGAGAACAAAATATAGTAATCGCATACCTCCCCAGCAGTAGTATCACCGTTACAATATTCTAAAGCCCGGTTTTGTACTATTTTGGATGACTTATGCGGCCTATTCCACAGTGCGCACATCAGCGCAACATGCTTTCTAATAAACTTGCATGTCAGGTAAGCAAAACGAAAGCGGCAGCTGAAGCTCACTTATTCAGCATTGTTCATTAGGTTGAAATATTTTCATACTCTTTCACCAAATACTTCGTCAGCTTCTACTTCAGCTAATATTCTGACCATAAATGGTTTGATCTGAAGGTGGGTCTTTTGTTATTTCTGCTTAACTTCGTGGTCCGCAACGAAACGGTGGAGGAACTCGTAGGCGTTCGTAAACGTGCTCTCGTGTTCTGGTTGTAGCGTAATGAGGCTGATTAGCAAATGCGAGTTTTGATAGAATGGTAGTATAATTGTTAGGTGCACTTTGGTAAATAGAGATACAGTCCGAAAAGTGGAATAATTAAAAAAGTGACTTATTATTTCAGGATGCCTGTTGAGAGCTCCTGCGACAGAGACCGGACATGGGACATAACTTCTCTGCCTTACAGCTACTGCATGTGTCTCGTAGTTATTCGTAGAGACTTGTGGAGCCCGTTTGACTTTCTGTCTTGTGTGCGCGTGTGCGTTTATCGGACCGAGTTTCATGCCCAATTCTTGTGTCCAGTGTGAAAGGAGGAGTGTCATGTCGCGTTTGGTAAGTACACGAACATGAATAAAATTGACCTGATATGTTGGCGTTCCTAAGCCTGGTACATGCCGCAGGTTGTAGCCGCGTAAAAAAAGCATCAGAATGTCCGGAGTACATGTTTTCAGCTACGGTTGCAAGTGGGACGGTAATTGCCACTGTAAGATCCGGACGGTTAAGGATCTCCTAAGCCTGTACATGCCGCAGGTTGTAGCCGCGTAAAAAAAGCATCAGAATGTCCGGAGTACATGTTTTCAGCTACGGTTGCAAGTGGGAAGGTAATTGCCACTGTAAGATCCGGACGGTTAAGGATCTCACAGGACGATTGCGACTATTAGATTATACGCAGTTCGTAGCCAGTAGTCAATAGGAGCAGACAGACGTGGGGCAGTAGATGATATATTGAAGACTGACAGGAACTGGTTCTACAGAAAAACGAATTAGTAAGCATCATGAATTAAGAAAACGTACAATGAACAATGACGCAATCTGTAGGAGCGGGAAGCAGTCACTGTTACAGCACGGGTTTCTGTAGGGGCAACAAGAAGTAAGTACCAAACGATGTGCAAACATACATATCGGGGCAGTCTGACAGTATGAGTTGGCCGTAACGGCGCAGGAGTCAGTACGTTCGGGATTTGAAGGACTGTCTTTCGGTCGGCGTCGACGCAGCCGCTCGTGTC